TGACGATTGTTTGATTCCATGTTTTTGAGGAGTTATGTTGGAAATAGAAGGCTAGGATACAGTGGTTCAAAAAAGGAGATCAGAACTCTAAGTTCTTCCATGCTATTACAATGTAGAGAGAAAAAAGAATGTCATCATGAGACTGGTGGATGAGTGAAACACTGTGTATATGATTGATGAGCAGATAGAGGGCCACATTTATAGCAGCTATAAGAAAATTTTTCAGTCTGAAGGTTCAAGAGGTGGTGAGGAGTTGCTTCAGAATATACCCGAAACAATCACCCAAGAGATAAACAAGGATCTAATAGCCCCTCTGGATGAAGACTGCGTCAAAACTGCTCTGTCTGACATCAACCCAGGAAAAGCTTCAGGAGAGGATGGTATGATTGCCCTTTTCTTTCAACATTTGTTGCCTATTATTATATGTGATTTGTGTGCTACGGTTAAAAGATTTTTTGATTCAGGCCAATTGTTAAAATATTGGAATCATACACTCGTAACTCTAGTTCCTAAGTGTATGAATCCTTCATCCTTAAGTAAATTTAGACCTACTAGCCTTTGTGGAGTTACCTATAAAATTATGTCCAAAATTTTTACCCTCATAATTAAAGGTTGTCCAAACCTTGTGTGAGTGACTCCTAGCCAGCTTTTATTCCTGGAAGGTAGCTTCTAGATAATGTAATAATAGCACATGAAGCCTTTGATTTTTTGAATAGCCATAGGCCTCGGAAAATCTCTTTTTTATGACTTAAATTGGATATGGAGAAATCATATGATAGAATTGAGTGGAAGTGTGTTAAGGATATAATGCTTAAAATGGGGTTCCATCATACTTTTGTTAAGTGGGTAATGGCATGCATTTCCTCATTTTTTCTTTTCAATTTTAATGGGAAAGTGTGTGGGTACATTTCACCCTCTAAGGGTCTGATACATGGGATCACATATCCCCATACTTATTCATTTTGGTTTTTGAAGTTTTGTCTTGCATCATAAACAGTGAAGTTGGATTGAGCGGTTTAAAGGGTAGTTAGACAATGCCTACACCTATACATCACTTTTTTGTCGATGATTCCCTGTTGTTTTGTAAATCTGATGAAAATCATCCCCACTTGTTAATTCAAATTATGAACAAGTATCAAAATTTTACTGGAAAGAAAGTCAACTTGGCTAAGTCCACTATATTTTTCAGTAAAAATACTTCTGAGCAAGTGCAAGGTAGGATCTATGGAATCCTAGAAGTCATGAAAATGCATAGATCTTCTAGATATCTTGGGTTTCCTTAGGAATTGGGAATTCAAAAAAAGAGGCCTTTCAGTTTGTTGTAGATGATGTGAGAAATAAATTTCAGAGTTGGAAAAATAGGTTGTTATCCTCAACTGGGAAAGAGGTGATTATCAAGGTTGTCTTAAATGTCTTGCAATGTTTGCAATGTCCTTCTTTATTCTCTCTATGAGTCTGGGTAAGGAAATTACAAGTTTATGCTCGCATTTTTTGCGGTGCAAAAGAGAAATCCAAAGTACAGGTATGCAGAGAGCACGGGACAAGCTCACCTAGGCCAAGGGTGGTTAGGGATTTGGCTTTTTAGACATGAAGTTGTTTAACCAAACAGTCATTCTAAAACAAATGTGTAGGATAACAACTGAATGTTGTAGCAAAATATATTTTTTTACCGAGTACCGAATCGAAAGATTTATTCCCCAGGTTGATCTCAAGGAAGGTTAGCCGGATATGCTTGTGCGTTTATTCTAACACAAAAAAAGAAAAGAAAATAATTTTCTAAACACTCTAATCAAGATGGTTGGTTTTAATTATCAACTACGAAGGAAAACTCAAAGAAACGAAGATCAAATGATGATAAAAAGCTAAAGAGTCGGGGATGATGATTTTCTAACCAATGCAAATATCAAGCTAAGATCATTCGGTTAAATTATTCGAACAACCTAACATCTAGAGATATTCCTCAATAACTCTTCGTAACAAGAGGATAACATAGACGGTAAATCAAGCAAATCACACAACACTTAGACAATACGTTTCCGAACAAGTCTATTTCATGCGAGCCTAGATCGATCAACTCCTCGCCTTTCGATTCTAAGAGTTGATTAAATTATACTAGACGATAGTTACTACTAGTTCGTTGGATTTAAACACATCACACAAGAACGAATCATATTCAATTGGAAATCAATTGTAAATCGAAGTGTCACTCTTCGACAATATTCAACATTCAATGTACGAGAACTATAAACCCTAGTTAAGAACAACTCGTATAAATTGAACGATGAACAAGCATGATAATCACAATTAAATTCTAAACATCATCATCATGCCCTATCCCTAGCGAAACGAATTAGCTACTCATATGGAATTCAAAATCAACAATCTCAACAATCAAAGCCATCAAATTCATGGATTAGATAAAAAGAAAAACTTACATATTAATAGAAAATCGATATTTGAATCCAATGAAAAAGCTTAATCCGAAAAAGTAAAGAGAGAATTGAGCAAAAATAACGATCAGAATCCAAGTTTTTAGAGTAGGAGAAAGTGAAAGAACATAAAAGGGGATTATTCCCTAAGTCTAGGAGGTCGTTTCAATATATAGTGCTCGAAAAATGGAGCTAAAATGAGTCGGCCGGGTTGTGGGGTTACATCAGGGCGCGCGCGCAGGTCGCGGAATAGGGTCGTGGGTCGCGGAATTTTGGGCGTGCCTTTTCTGTTTTTTTCGTGGGTCGCGGGTCGTGCGGCGCGGCTGGGCGTGGGGTTGCGGTCGTCGGTCGCGACCCGGGCTGCACTGCGCCATTTTGCGTTTCGGCCTCGTTTAAGCTCGTCCGAACTCGGAATTGAGTTTTGTTTTTTCCTATTCGTCGCTAACGAACCCATCTATTCAATTATGCTCTCGAAAATAATTTTTTCTGAAGAAATTTTTTTTTCGAAGCTCCCGACTTACACACCAAAAACGACAAAACACAAAAAAAAACCAAAAAAACAAATGAAAAACACCTAAAGACTCAAAATGAAGGAAACCACTTAATAAAACACGAAACGAACTAAAAACGAAAGAAACGACCTAAAATGGGAGGGGGGGGGAAATGAAATAAGGACGAAAAATGTAACAAAAATGGGACAAACACTGAACCTGAACTTCTAATGAGCAGAGTGCTAAAGAACATATACTTTCGCCACACTTGTATTTCTTATTGTCAAATGAGGCAAAGCTCATCTTGGCTCTAGAACCACTTGATGACACTGAGACCCCTGTTGCAGCTAGACATGACCAAATTTTGGGCCCGGTCTGGCTCGGCGGGTCGTCGGGTTCACAATCCCTGACCTTGAATCGGCCCGTACCTAGGTTCGTGTCGGGTACACGATGCGGGATGGGTTGGGCCCGACCCGGAATCAAGACCCATCTGAAAAAAAAAATGAAAAAATCTTACCACTGATTTCCAGGGTCGGCCTGACCCAGAACCGGGACCCGTCCTAAAAAAATTAAAAATAATCTACCTTGATTTCTACGGCCCGCCTGACTCATCGGGTCATATGTTACATTCATATGACCCTGAACCGGCCTGGTTTGAATCCAGGCACGTGCCCAGACCCATGGTCAACGAGCCTGACCAGGCCGAGTTCGTGCTGGTTCCAGGCTGGGTGACCCGTGGCCACGTCTAACTACAACCAGAATTAAAAGTTGAAGTGAGAAATGGAGTTTCAACCTAAATAGAGGACTACAACTGGGTTCCAAGGTTGAAATTTGGAAAACCACAAATTAAAGGCAACAAGGAAGCAAATATTAAAGAACTTATCGAGAGTGATAGAAGAGGCTAGAATGAAGAGCTGATCAGAGACCATTTTACCAAGCTGACAGTGAGGAAATTTTAAAAATATCATCTTTGAAACCTGAAGATAAGGATAAGTGGATTTGTAATTTTATTCAAATGGGAGGTTCTTTGTAGCTGCTTCTTATGCTAAACTGATGGTTGAGCAAAAGTTTAAGCAAGACAGAGCTGAAAGAAGCACAACAGCTTGCATGGACAGAAATGCCAGACAGAGATGCTGGAGAATGGGAGTGAAAGGATAAGTTAAGCATTTTATATGGAGATGTTTCTTTGTTGTGATACCAGTCAAAATCAATCTCCATAAAAGAGTGGCACAGATATATGTGATTCGTCATGGCTGTGGAGAGGAGGAAGAGACTGTGAAACATATCTTCTTCAAGTGCACTAGAGAAAAAAAAAAGTACGGAAGTTGGCCGCTATTAGTTGGGATGGAAGGTGCTCTGGCTAGTTTTAAGAAGTGGTGTTAGCGAGTGCCTTCAATAGATCACAAGGAGTGCTCTGAAGCCAAAATCCAGTTATCTATATACATTATGTGGTGGCTTTCGAAAATTCAGAACTTGTGGATATTTAAAGGAGTTTGGCAGCTTGAACAATGCATTATACAAGCAGCAGTGTGGGAATGGAATGAGTTCCAGGCTGCTAGAGGATTTTGATGTCTTTAGGCTCAAATATTTTTAGCTAGGTCTTATGTCAATAGCTAGGGGTATTTGTTTTATCTTTTTTATCAATCGTTTGTTTGGTTGCTAGTTGAAGTTTCAGTCCTTGTTCATTGCTTTCAATTAGTGTTGCATATGTGTAGATCGCACACATGTGTGTGGTGCTCCAATTTTACTCCGGTTGCTTGGGTTACTTGGCCCGTTTGTATATGAACCTTGGGAGAATGCTACTATCCCGTTACGGGATGGTTCCGTTATGTTTTCTAGCCATAGATATACATGTAATCTAATGATGGGTAGTTAATCCAACGGTTAAAAACACAATGAAACCATTCCGTAACGGGATGGTAGCATTCCCCTGAACCTTGTATTTATATTGTTTAATTGAGTTTTTCTATCGTTTGAAAAAAAAAAATTGTAACGTAGGAGTGGGTACGTTATCTCAAGTCTCAACAACACTATATATATTATTATTTTTATTTTTTTCTAAACTCGACAGAGAAAAAGGATGCATGGCCCATTGCATAATAAATTCATAAAGTTACTTTATAAAGTTCTATTCATTTTTGCAGACGTACGAACCACAACTTTAGTCCACACGAGGGCCTAGACTCAAACTCAATCATATGAACTCCAAGACTCGGGAAAAAGCTAAGAGCCCTCTTGGAACTTCTGACTTTTATGATATTTATTGTAAATTATGTTACAGTTATGGATTCTGTTTTACTGCATAAATAATTGCCAGATGTATGAACTTTTTTTTTGCCAGGTGGTTCTTATAAGATATATCCAAGATTTTTCTAACCAGAAATAACATATCCATTGAATTATGAAATTCATGAATATCGAAAAATTGGCTGCAAATTTAATAAATTACACAAAAACACCCATTTATTATCCAGCCCAGCGAGACTTGAATGGATCGACCTTGATTCAACTTGTTAACTAAACAAACTTTAAATCAATTTGAACTTGACTCGTTTTATCAACAAGATGAGTCGAACAAAACTCGACTCGTTTAGGGGGTGATTGGATATGAATTCAACTAGTAAAAAACTAGTTATTTTTTAACTATAGTTAAATTTGAAAAAATGTGGTATGGTTAGTTGTTAGTGGATATATTAAAATAATTTTTAAAATAAAATAATTAAAGTTGATTTGGTGTAAAAGTAGGGGAAAATGATTGGAAGTGATAGTTAGTTAAAATTATGTGAGTAGATGAATAGTGAATTAAAGTTGATGTGATGTGTAAAAATGATTGGTTGATATTATTTAATTATATTGATGATATTGGAGATAGTGGAGTTGAGTTAAAGTTGAGTTAAATTTGAGTTTTGATTGGTTTTTTCACTGTAGAATTTGTATACAATCGCCCCCTTAACAACACTACATGCAACCAATCATTCTGTCAAAATTTACTTATATTTTTCCCATTCCGTTGCTAGCAATATTTCTTGATCTATGAAGGCTACAACAATTTATGTAAAGGAAAAAAACTCAAAACACAAAACTAATATATTGAAGGTAATTAAAATAGAGGAAAATCAAACAAAATACTCCAGTGGCACTATAGTCATTTCAGTAGATAAAATCTAAAGCTGGATCATGAATGTGAAACCTGCTAATACTCTCCTCTCCCTCTATAAATACACTTGACTTGAGACCCAACATTTTTAAACCCAACTTCCACAGGCACAACCCCCTCTTTGTTTTTGCTCTCATCAAGAATATTGTCTATTTCAAAGCTCTTCCCATNAACCCTCCCTTCACATCATCCAAGAACGCCTCTCACTCGGGCCTATCACTATCCAACCTAATCCTATCCAGCAATTCAAACACGCTCGACTCAATCTTCTCCTATTGCCAGCAGCCCCCAATCCACCCGGCAATCAACCACGTCCCGGGACCCCTCGGCTCCTCCGTCTATCTCCGTCAGCGAGATTTAATCCGAACACTCTCAAACCAAAACAAACTCATCTGCAGACCAGCCCAGCATCCGGGCCTTTTCGGGCCAGCCCATTTCAGCCCGAACAAGCGGAAGCTCTACCGTGGGGTCCGCCAGCGCCACTGGGGCAAGTGGGTTGCTGAGATCAGACTTCCCCAGAATCGGATGAGAGTCTGGCTCGGGACCTACGACTCGGCCGAGGCTGCAGCCTACGCGTACGATCGAGCCGCTTACAAGCTCCGGGGGGAGTACGCGCGGCTCAACTTTCCGAACCTGCGTGAGCCGGCCCGGTTGGGGCTCGGAGACGAGGCCCGGGTCGAGGCACTGAGGAGCGCGGTGGATGCCAAGATACGGGCCATTTGCCAAAGGGTGAGGAGGGAGAGACGGGCCCGGCGGGCCGAGGAAAAGAGTGGAGATGTGGCGGAAAAGACGGATTTGCCCCCGTCGGATGTGGGGAATGGGTCGGAGGACGGGTTTTGGGCGGGCGGCTCGCCGGAGTCGTGGTGCTCGGCGGTGGTGGGGCCGGAGATAGGGGAGGAGGAGATGGAGGGGTGCTCGCTTGCTCGGCTGCCGTCGTACGACCCGGAGTTGATATGGGAGGTTCTTGCTAATTAATTAGGGCCGCGTTTGGGGAGGTTTGCTTTTTGAGGGATTATTTTTGGCGTTGGTGAATGATGTGTGAGAGTTGCATTTGATGAAGATTTGATGTACTATAATATAGTTGGGAATTGTGTTCTTGAAAACTTGTGCTTATATGCAAAGGTGAAGTAGTAAATTGGGATGAAGGTCATATGCATGTTCCTGAGGGGGTTTTAGTGTTCTCTTTTCTTATAATAATAATTACTGTTATTTGTTGTTATATTCTTTTATATTTTATATAATGCAATGCATGTGATACATAATTTATATTTTAATGTGATTTTGAACTATATTTTATAGTCTATTCAATTTTTTACATTATTATTTTCAATTGATCAAACAAAAGTAGTACATTACATACTTAATTGTGTCAAATATAATGAAGGTTGAAATACAATTTTGAAAATAATATTATTTGTAAGTCATGGTGAAAAAGATTGCATTAAAATTTTATTTGACAAACCTTCATTATCTAAGTTGGTCTTGTTTATTCGAAATCTTTGAATTTTTTAAAAGAATAATTACATGTTGTAGACACATAAAACTTGTGGCCAATCAAATGGCGCCATGTAGAAATTAATTTATTAAAAATTAAGTCATATTTTTATTTATATTTTAGGAATTTCCATAAATTTAATTCTTAAATTTAAATAGTTAACTAATTGATATTTTAATATTTTAATTCTTGACCAATCAAATAATGTCAAGTGTCAAATCTTGTTGCTTGGTAGATAAATCACATATCATCTAGAAGATCTTGGGAGATTTAAATAGATCCAAAAGATCTTATGTTAATCACCATGAACCAATCAAATCGCTTCCTACAATTCTTAAATTTTGTAGGATTCTCTCTCCTATATCTATACATAGGGATTCTCTCTTCTATACCTATAAATTTTGTAGGAATAACGGCAGCGCCGGACTGCGGCTGTCTTGGCCAACAGAGGCGGCGTGAATGTCGGGACCCTCGCAGTGCTTGACGGCACGGTGGCCGCGCCGGGCGGCGGCGTCGGGGGTGGTAGTGCGGCGGCGGTTTGCTGTCTGAAGGGACTTAAGACGCCTGGCTCCGGCGGGTCTCTCAGCGGCGGCCGCCGTGTGTGTGTGTGTGTGCGCGCGCGCGCTCCTATGTGTGTCTCTGCAAATCGTGCGTGAGAAGTAGGAAGATGGTGATGATTAATGAGAGAGAAAATAGATATTTAAATGATGAGTGGGTCCCACATAATATATGTGTATTAACAAACTTACCCTTAATTATTGGTCAAATTCACATATTTGACCAACTATGATCAAATAATTACGATATTGTCATTAATGATTAACCACCATTAATATGATTGATTCCATGGTCCAGATTCATTCTTATTTATTTCACTATCTACCATTCTCACTTTATCCTACTTTTATATAAATATCAAATAAGGCAAAAAATAAATAATTGCTGTTTTTTTTAATTATTATTTGGCTAAATCATAATTTCACTTGTTCAATACTGCTATCAGTTAAGTAATGGATAACTTTAGATTCAACCAGACTATAAATCAAATGTGTGATAAGGTATTTAGATTGGATTTATATATTTGATAGTTTTTTCCATACCTCATGATTATTATGTCATTTAAAATACCATTAATAATTAGCTATAGCATGTCGAAGAATGTAGGAAACTAGCGTACAATATATATATATATATATAAAAAGAATTAATATTTATCAAAAATAGCAGCAAAAAAGTCAATGAGCATTTAATGCATACTTAATTTGGAAACTTTTTAAATATATGCATTAATTGCTTTAATATATACATTTCCAAATCAAATATGACAAAAAAGATTCTTTCCTTGAATAATTTTATTAACATATGCAATAATTTTATTGATATCCATTATAATAAACTATAATTTGATTTTTCGTGATTGATGTTGATAATATTTTGGTCAACATAAACATGAAACCAACTTTTAAGTCTTAACCGTATTATTATTTTTTTTTTCACAAATGTTGACTTTCATCCTAAAATATTTATAAACAATGGTAACATGTTAAATAATTCTCCTCTAACTAATTAGCCGAAATCAAGTTGGTGAATTAATATTTTTTGATAATATTTTTTAACCTTTATTTAATTATATAAACAAATAATTTTTTTAAATTAAAATAATTTACCATTTAAGAGATAATGATCACATCATTAAATAATTTATTAATGACTAAATAATAAAATTAAAATATATTAACTATTCTTTACATTTTCAACATTTGATTTATTTGTATATTATTGTCAACCATGATAATTTTATCATTTTTTTTTTTTATTTGTTTCCATAATGAATTTATTGTAAAATATATATTTATATTGCATAGTATGTTAAATAAACTAATAAAGCCTTAGGATGCAAATTAGAAAAATCTCTTGATTATGTAAGGTTTACTATTTGACAATTTGCTAAATCAATTTTTTTTTTAATTATTATGAGAAAATTAAATTCTAAAAAACATGTGTGTGTATTTTGTAAAAATTTATAGAAATTTTTTTATTTTAAACTCATTACATAAACTAAGAAGAAGAAGACTACTTCTATAACCTTTATAAATAATAATAATGACATTGTATGGCAATAAATATTATAATAAAATAATAAATGATTATTAAATAAATGGTGAACAAACATAAATTTTATTTTTTTTTTCTTATATCGATAGATAAATATATGTTGCATAATCAAATTTATATCAATATAACGTGTTAGCAGAATGATATATTAATAACATGTCAACGTTATGACTAAAATAAATATCACCGATTGAAAGAAATGGAAAATTAATGTTCCAACCCTATTATTTTTTGCCAAAATTGTACAAGCCATATAGATAACTCAATTAATATATGTATATATATGTCCCGTGAATCGCACGGGCTATGCACTAGTTCACCTATAATAGTTTTTGGGAAGAATATTTATTAGAGAATTCCAAAAACTCTCCCCAATTCATAGATACATCTCTTCTTCAACGGTATAAATATGTTTATATAGTTTAATAAGGTTTGTAATTCATTAATAAACCTAATATTCTAAAAAATAGATGACATAATAATATATCATAAAATAATTTTGGATACTTTTTTGTGCTAATATAAGATAGTTTAATGATTCTCACGTTCGTCAGCTCATCCAGTACTTGATTTACCTATCACGATGCGCAAATATTAGGTGTGGCAGGGCATGTGTGAAATGCACTTTCTCTTAAAATCGCGTGAGGTAAGGTAATAAGGTATGCAAGTTTTTTTTTTTTTTTAAAAAAGACGAGTGTCCAATATATATTGGATAATAAATTTTACATATCATATTATATAAATTAAATTATTATTCACATTTTATATAAAAAAATAAAAATAAAAATACCAAAATTCATAATTTTTCAATCTCTACAAATAGAGACCACATTTGATAAGTTTTGGAACACAATTAATTTATCATTTTTTATAATTAAATTATCTTTTTGGAAGGTGATGACACAAATATATAATAAGATGAACATGTTACATACAAAGATGCGCATGTTATATAGTAAAATGAACATGTTATAGAATAAGATGAAAATGTTATAATTTTACAGATGGAATTTAGATGAACATTTTATACAATAAGATGAACATGTTACATAATAAGATGAACATGTTATAGAATAAGATGAACATGTTACATATTTACACAATAAGATGAACATATGAACATGTTATAAAATAAGATGAACATATGAACATGTTATATAGTAAGATGAACATATGAACATTGGAACACAATTAATTTATCAATTTTTACAATTAATTTATCTTATTGGAAGATTATGACGCAAATATATAATTAGATAAATATGTTACATAGTAAGATTAACATGTTATAGAGTAAGATGAACATGTCATAGAATAAGATGAAAATGTTACATTTTTCAGAGATGAAATTTAGATGAACATGTTACATAATAAAATGAACATGTTATAGAATAAGATGAACATGTTTAGATTCCATATCTACATCACGGGCTCTCACATTATTTTCTCCAATTTCCACTTCATATATAAAATTCTGGTCAATTTCTTGCCCGACTTTCACTCGTTTAATGCAAGCATCTCCGCCTGAAATAATAAACCATAATCTACAGATAAGAACTCAAATTTATGCAATAGTCATACTATAGGGAATGAAAGTGAAAAACTAGTAGAATGTAAAAGAAATTCCATAAATTAGTCTTTCGATCGAATATCCTCTCTAATAAGATGAAAATGTTACATTTTTCACATATGAAATTTAGATGAACATGTTATAAAATAAGATGAACATGTTACATAATAAAATGAACATGTTACATAATAAAATGAACATGTTATAGAATAAGATGAACATGTTACATAATAAAATAAACATGTTATAGAATAAGATGAACATGTTTAGATTCAATATCTACATCACGGGCTCTCACATTATTTTCTCCAATTTCCACTACATACACAAAATTCTGGTCAATTTCTTGCCTTACTTTCACTCGTTTAATGCAAGCACCCCCGCCCTGAAATAATAAACCATAATCTACATATAAGAACTCAAATTTATGCAATAGTCATACTATAGGGAATGAAAGTGAAAAACTAGTAGAATGTAAAAGAAATTTTATAAATTAGTCTTTCGATCGAATATCCTCCACCTTGATCACAAACCAAAATCCTCTCTAATAAGATGAAAATGTTACATTTTCACAGATGAAAATTAGATGAACATGTTATAGAATAAAATGAACATGTTACATAATAAAATGAACATGTTATAGAATAAAATGAACATGTTACATACACAATAAGTTGAACATGTTACCAAAAAACGAAAATTAGTTGTATTCAAAAACCTATCAAATGTGGTCTCTATTTATAGATAATGAAAAATTATGAATTTTGGTATTTTTATTTTATTTTTTTAATATAAATAATTAATGATATTTTAATTTATGTAATATGTCTCATTTTTTCATTAAAAAGAAAAATTGGGAGAGTGCACTACACCTAGCTAGGTGTGCCAGGGCACACGGTAGTGGTACTGCTCACGATGTACTTGATTTACCTCTCATGATGATTCTCAGCACTCCGATAATATTATGTCTTAAATAATAACAAGAAAATACGTGTAAAATATTTTTTTCAAACATTTAATTAAAATATTTACTTGAATTTTTTTCCCAAATATCTTAAACTTCAATAAAAATATTTATTTGATAATTATATCGATTGTGCGCCATTTTTATTGGATAAATATTTATTGTATAATTAGGTGGATTGTGCGCAATTTTTGTTGGAGAACTATTTCGTGTCATTTTTATTGTACAACTTTAAGGAATTTGATTATACCATTAAATACAATTAGTTTTGTTTTTTTTTTTTTTAAACAAAAACTGTGCTGCATTATTGCTTCATTTCAAATTTATAAAACACTTAGTTAAATTAAATATTAAATAAATATATATATTTGAAAAATCAATATTATTAATTGTTATTAGTTTATTAAAAGAAATATATAAAATTAATCATCTTTTAATAATTACTTGAATTTTTTTTCCAAATATCTTAAACTTCAATAAAAAATATTTATTGGATAATTATATCGATTGTGCGCCATTTTTATTGGATAAATATTTATTGGATAATTAGGTCGATTGTGCGCAATTTTTGTTGGATAACTATTTCGTGTCATTTTTATTGTACACCTTTAAGGAATTTGATTATACCATTAAATACAATTAGTTTTGTTTTTTTCTTAAACAAAAATTGTGTTGCATTATTGCTTCATTGCTTCATTTCAAATTTATAAAACACTTAGTTAAATTAAATATTAAATAAATATATATATATATTTGAAAACTCAATATTATTAATTGTTATTAGTTTATTAAAAATAATATATAAAATTAATCATCTTTTAATAATTTGATACTCCTACTAATAGAGCGAAAAATAACTTTTGAAAAAAAAAAATTGTCTACTAGTTTTAATCATAACATATTAAAGTGATATTTATTGAAATATATTTATCTATGATAGGATACTATATAGTATACAATATGACTTAAAAAATATAATACAGGACAAAGTTTACAAATGTCGTAACTACGTAACTCTTATCTATATGTTCAAAGTTTAGATGCATTTATAAATATAAACATTTACCATTTATAAAATGCCACACTTTTTTTATAGGTTGATGTTTAATAAAACTCGATATAATTTATTTTTTCAATCAAGTTTAAAAAATCGAAATACGAGTAAACTGATTAGATCTCGTTTTTGACATTATCAGGTAGTGTTGATTGATAATGGTCAGAGAAGAAGTTGGCATCCAACTTAATATCTAGTTAAGTATATTCCTTCTTTTTTCCAACAAGTGTATTTTATTTGAATGATGTTAAATGTTAAAAATGGGAAATCAATGATTTGGTTAATGAGTTTGTGGAAATTCTCTTGGAGGATTTGTTGCTGAAACGTAGGTATTTTACGATAAGTGCGTTCAACGTTGTTAGAACACAAATAAACAACTAGAATAGCGGAAGCAATAAATCG